GTTCCAATTTCTGATTGGCTGGGCGAATTGCAAACCACGCCCCGTAAAACTCTGAAAAGTTTTTTGAAGCCGCCATTGTATTTGCTGGCATTAGCATTATTAGCATTAGCCCCGCGCACCACGGAGAGAGAATAACTTATGACAACACAAAGTAAAACATGGGAGCGGTGGAGATGAGGAGGTGTCGGCGTTCTGGCGATTTACTCGGAAGGCTTCAGTAGAAGCTGCTGGGAGTCCCAGCAGCTTCTACTGAAGCCAGTCCCCAACTCCGGGGACTTCCGGCTGGGGACTTCGCGTGGCAGTATACGGCGTGAAGTTGTTTGCGGCCTGCCAGTAAACCCAAAGCAGAAGAAGAAGAAGTGACGTCAGCGGCTTCATTTGCCTAATCCTCCCTCAGGGAACTTATCAATTTGTGTGAATGCGATCTGCTCTTTGGTTCCAAGGGGGAACTAAGTGCTGGCACTAAGTACGGCAAAGTACTTGGTGTGAAAGCGGCTTATGTTATATTTTATTACACAGCTTAGTTGAATGCCTGAATCTTATTGGTTAATTTGGACATATCAGAGGTTGTTAATACTCAATAACACACTGCTGCTAAGCTAAATAATGACCGTTGCTACAGAGGATCTAGGGGGTTATTTTTTCATTAATGACCGCCTCGCTGCACATTATCCCTGATTTATATCATATTATACTTTTTGTAAAGTGCAAAGACTTCATTCTTTGACGCTGCTTTTTCGATGCGAATGATGCTCATATTGATAAGGCCTCATAGCTTTAATTATTTAGTAAAGTAATTAATATATTTTCACTACTTATATGTACTTATGTGGATTTTAGGAAGACAACCAATTATTTTTGTGAGAAGTTCTCAAGTCTTTATTTAAGTGAATTTGGCTTCTGAATTGAAGTGTTTACAGGATTTTTAAATGTAGTTTAACTTTAATGCATTTGTTACAAATATTTAACCGCTATTTTAAACATTTTTATAAAGGTGTGTATATAAAGTATATCCGTGAATATTTGAGGTGACGGTTGGTCACATTTTTCTCCTCGACATTGAGGGATTATTAAGAGAGTACATTGAGATCCAGAGTAAGAAATCGATGCTTAGAGTTATGGCTATTCTCTCTTAAAAAGGAGGCTATATCTGGATGCCGTTTACTTACCATTGTGTGTATAGAGAAAGTGAGAGGTGTTTGCTTTAAAGAAACTTGACCTGAAAACAAAATGTATACTGCTATTAAAACTGGAAACGACATTAAATAGTGAAAAACAATGCTGCTGCTATGTTCCTGCAGTGTGCTGCTGTTTCTACTATCAACAAAGCTGCTGTCACTGTCTGTGTTGTTTACATTCTCATCAACAGGAAGCAGCAGTGTGGGTGTGTGTGTGTGTGGGTGTGGGTGTGTGTGTGTGTGAAGTTATCAGAGGTGAAACAGTGTGATAGTTTCAGTATCGTCTTTTATCAGATGTTTTTCAGCACAGTTTTGAACACTGAAGGACAGAACAGTGTTTGATGTCTCTGTCCGTTTCATCCTTGATTTGTGTTCAGGACGTGTTATCAGTGAGCACTCTGCGTTACTCAGGACTTTTCTCTCAGCAGGAGTCCGAAAAATATCAGAATAATGAACTGTATTCATGCAGCGCTTTTCAAATAAAGTGCTTTACCTGGTTAAAACAGGATTCAACCTTTCAGATGAGATCAACAGAAATGATATTGGCTCAACAACAATTATGATAATAAAACAGACAACAAGTAAGAAATCAAACCTAAAGAGCTGTTTAAGGTAAATAATATCAAAATAAGGATAATCTGGCATATGTGTAATGGTTTTTGACATTTCAGTTTTATAAAAAAACAACAACATTGTATGGTGGGTTGACCACTGTTTGAATTTTATTTGTTTTATTCCATTTTCTGTGTACGATTTTTGTGTGTGTGTGTGTGTGTGTGTGTGTGTGTGTGTGTGTGTGTGTCACTCCTTATGAGCCGTTGGCTTCTTATGAGCCTATGTGTGTATGTTAGCTTGTGTTGTATTTGCAGTAGACATGTTTTAAGTGGCCGTTAAGTGTTTAGTGATAAATAATGGAAATGTACAATTTAGCAATAATAATACATTTTATGAATCAAGCGCTTTGTCAGGTCCTCAAAGACGACTAACAGAGGTGAACAATAAGATAAAAGTCCAATTTAAAATCGAGCAATAAAACAACATTTATCACAGGGACACAGCATTAATCCCACATTTAAACCTAGTACGCGTATGCCTCTTCCTGTGTGTGTGTGTGTGTGTGTGTGCGTGTGTGTAACCATTTGTTTTGTGTGCGTGTGTGTGTGTCAGGTCTGACGGACTGGGAGGACGATGAGATCCTGGCGTCGGTGCTGGCCGTTTCTCAGCAGGAGTACATGGACAGCATGAAACACCAGAGCACCTCCGCCATGCACCGAGAGCGAGAGCCGTCACCGGACAGCAGCTGATAGCCGGCCGACACACAACCCCCCCCCACACACACACACACACACACGACACAACGATGACCTTTGACCTCCCCACCTTATCCCCCCCTCCCCCCTCCACCTCACCTCTGTCCCACAGAAGGAGATCGACCAGGGAAAAAAAAAAAATCATCAGTCGAAGAAATTCACACTTTGTTATTTTCTGCAGACTTTTCAACTCATCCGTTCATCACTCGTCTCCTTTTTCCTTCCCTCCTTTCCTACCTGTCTCTGCCTCCCCCCCCTCCTTAGATGGAGCTCGGTCTTAATGCTATACTGGGATCATTTGAGATTCACAGACATCATTGGTTGAAATTTTAATATTTTAGTTTTTGGTGTCGACAGTTGTTTGGCTGTTAGCTCAGCGGCTACCATTATCATTGGTTTCGATGAAGAATGCTCTTCAGAAAAGGAGCTACGTTAGCGTGCGAGCTATCACCCGAAGTCTTACTCTGGTCTAAAGCTAGTCTCTGCTAACAAACCAGACGGTTAGCGTAGCGTTCAGGACTTCACGGTCTGTAGCGTCTCCTCTCTCTCTCTCTCTCTCTCTCTCTCTCCTGGTTATATTCCTCCTCTTCCTCCTCAACACCATCTTCATCATCATCGGACTTATTTAGCTGCATGTTTAATCGACCACGACCAATATCATCATAGAGAAAAAAGCTACAAATAAATTTAAAAAAAGGAGATAAAAAAATGTGAGAATTGTCATACTTATCCTCTTAATGATTGATTATTATTGTTGTTATTATTAATAATATAAGTTTGTTTTATTTTATTTTATCGTTTGGGATGAAAATACCTTTTTTTCTTGGAATAAAAAGAGGAAAATGTTTCTGAAAAAAATGTCTGGGAGGTTTAATTGTCTGCACTCAAACACTGAGGTTTCTTTCAATTGAAATTGTCCTTACTGTTAAGGAAATCCCCTTAGTGTTTAGTGCACAGAAAATAAATCAATATGTATTATAATAAAGCATTCAAAGTGCAGTAAGAGCAGACTAAATTATTTCAATCAGCAGAGACGGTTCTGATGTATTTGTTGCCAGGAATACACAAATGAATGTAATGGAGTTTTGGCGAGTAGGCCCCGTTGTGCAGGAGTATCATTCGGGAGGGGAGAACCGATCCGATAACCCCCCCAGGGTCTAGACACTGGTGGTGGTGAATGGATAGTTGGGTTCGGTCTGAAAGGGAGTGGCTTAGCTTGACCCTGGTGGTGGTGGTGAATGGATGGTTGGGGTCGGTCTGAAGGGGAGTGGCTTAGCTTGACCCTGGAGGTGGTGGTGAATGGATAGTTGGGGTCGGTCTGAAGGGGAGTGGCTTAGCTTGACCCTGGTGGTGGTGAATGGATAGTTGGGGTCGGTCTGAAGGGGAGTGGCTTAGCTTGACCCTGGTGGTGGTGAATGGATAGTTGGGGTCGGTCTGAAGGGGAGTGGCTTAGCTTGACCCTGGTGGTGGTGAATGGATAGTTGGGGTCGGTCTGAAGGGGAGTGGCTTAGCTTGACCCTGGTGGTGGTGAATGGATAGTTGGGTTCGGTCTGAAGGGGAGTGGCTTAGCTTGACCCTGGTGGTGGTGAATGGATGTTGGGGTCGGTCTGAAGGGGAGTGCCTTAGCTTGACCCTGGTGGTGGTGGTGAATGGATAGTTGGGGTTGGTCTGAAGGGGAGTGGCGTAGCTTGACCCTGGTGGTGGTGAATGGATAGTTGGGTTCGGTCTGAAGGGGAGGGGCTTAGCTTGACCCTGGTGGAGGTGAATGGATGGTTGGGTTCGGTCGGAAGGGGAGGGGCTTAGCTTGACCCTGGTGGTGTTGAATGGATAGTTGGGTTCGGTCTGAAGGGGAGTGGCTTAGCTTGACCCTGGTGGTGGTGAATGGATAGTTGGGTTCGGTCTGAAGGGGAGGGGCTTAGCTTGACCCTGGTGGTGGAGAATGGGTAGTTGGGGTCGGTCTGAAGGGGAGTGGCTTAGCTTGACCCTGGTGGTGGTGGTGAATGGATGGTTGGGTTCGGTGGCTTAGCTTGACCCTGGTGGTGGTGAATGGATGGTTGGGTTCGGTCGGAAGGGGAGGGGCTTAGCTTGACCCTGGTGGTGGTGAATGGATAGTTGGGGTCGGTCTGAAGGGGAGTGGCTTAGCTTGACCCTGGTGGTGGTGAATGGATAGTTGGGGTCGGTCTGAAGGGGAGTGGCTTAGCTTGACCCTGGTGGTGGTGAATGGATGGTTGGGGTCGGTCTGAAGGGGAGGGGCTTAGCTTGAGCCTGGATTCAGAGGGACAGGAGGTGAAAAGGGGGTGGAGGAGGGTTGCGTCGAGTCACCTGAAATGACAGCTGTCAGAGGGGAGAGCAGATTGAAAAGGTTTAGCGGAGCGCTGTGATAGGCTTGTGAGAATAGAGCGATTGGTTAAGCTGTGGAGTGACGCCCCCGATCATTTATTGAGAGGATAGAGAGTTACATGGACATAGTAAT